TGTATTTTTATGTAATTTTGAGAAGAAGGATCATAAGGTAGAAGATGATAGATAGAGAGAGAAAGAGAGAGAGAAAGTTAGGGAGATAGAGAGAGTTTGTTGCGCCAAATTCTGCCTTATTTCACTTCTGAAACCGCATTTTACCCTAACACAAGGGTCCCACAGAATAATACTCTAGCAACTTGGGCCTAGAACAAACTCTAGCCCAATAAGAAAATAACTACAAATTAACTTATCTAACTTTGGTCCACAAACAGAAGACACATAAATGGTCCAATAGAAATATGAAAAACAGCCCAATCAATAATAGTGTTAAGTCTGTCCCTCACGCGCGGCCTTCCCATCCTCTTCTTCATTCTCGCATAACCCTAATTTCCCAATTCCAGATCTCACCTCGCCGTTCATCTTCAAAACTCCTCATTTTTCCTCAAAGCCCTCGTCTTTTCCCCCAATTCCTTGGTCTTTTTTGTGTAAAGCCTCCGTCTTTGCTTTCCCGTCGGTGCAGTTCATGACATTACCCCCGCGATTTTGAGATCCTTGACCGCAAGGATCGAATTTTGGGAAACGACGGTAGAAAAGACCCATATCTTCCCAAGTCCAGAGCTGCGGCAGTGATTCATCCCAAAGGACTTGAATTTGAGGTACTTCTTTTCCACTTCTCAGCACCATCCTCTTTTCTGCAGTCATGATGGGTGCCATTTTAATAACACCGTCTTCATCGGTAACAGGAAGTTGAGGCGAGGAGAAAGTGTTTGGGTGAAGCCGACGCTTGAGAAGTGAACAGTGGAATACAGGATGGATTTTGGAGTCAGCCGGCAGAGCTAATAGGTAAGAAACTGGGCCAACCCTTTCTAAGAGTGTGTAAGGGCCAAAAAATTTGGCTGATAGTTTATTATTTCTCCTCAGTGAGGCTGACTGTTGACGGTATGGCTGTAATTTGAGAAATACCTGCTCCCCAACTTTAAACTGTTTGTCCTCCCTCTTGTGATCTGCATAAAATTTCATTCTGGCTTGTGCTTGCTTTAAATTGATTTTGAGTTGTTGTGCTTGCATTTGCCTCTGTTGTAAAAATTCCTTGACATCAGACTGAGTAGTGTCAAGATAGGGCACCATAGAAAAATTCTGAGGAGGATAACCATAGAGAGCTTGGTAGGGAGTCATTTTTAAGCTAGTGTGAAAATTGTGTTGTACCAATATTCAGCTAGGGCCAACCACTTCATCCATTGTTTTGGGTTGGAATGGACCATGCCTCTTAGGTAGTTTTCTAGGCATTGGTTCAGCCTTTCTGATTGGCCATCAGATTGGGGGTGGTAGGATGAGGTCATGTTTAACTGTACCCCCAATAGTTTGAACAGTTCCTTCCAAAATGCACTAGTGAAGACCTTGTCCCTATCTGAAACAATACTCACTGGGAGCCCATGTAGTTTATAGATGGATTCTAGGAACAGATTGGCCACAGTAGGAGCAGTAAATGGGTGTGATAATGCCATAAAGTGAGCATATTTGGTATACCTGTCAATCACAACCATGATAATATCCTTCCCTGCTGATTTAGGAAGTCCCTCAATAAAGTCCATGGCAATGTGTGTCCAAGCTTTATCTGGAATGGGTAGGGGTTGTAGCAACCCTTGGTAGGCACCTGGTATGGATTTATTCCTTTTACAGTCATCACAAAGTTGCACCCATTTGAGTACATCTGCCTTAAGTCCAGGCCAGTAAAAAACTTCTTTTATTCTCATATAAGTGCCCAAAACTCCAGAGTGGCCCTCATATGATGAGTTGTGCATGGTAGATAGCATGGATTGCTGCAGCTTAGCCCCTTTACCAATAACCAGCCTCCCTTTGTGCCTGATAACCCCATCAGTGACTGTGAATGTAGGATAAGATGCAAGATTGATGATGTTGGCAGCTAAGACCTTAGAAAGGTAAGCATCTTCTTTGTAGCTATCCTTAACTTCTTGAACCCAGGTAGGAATGAGGGTAGTGATGGCCATACTTTCTGCATCCCCTTCTCTTCTGGATAGGGCATCTACTGCACGGTTTTCTGTTCCCTTCTTGTACCTGATTTCATAATCCAACCCTAGAAGTTTGGTGATCCACTTCTGCTGTATAGGTGTCATTACCCTCTGGTCCAGCAAGTGTTTCAAGGCTTGCTGGTCAGTATTAATAACAAATTTGTGGCCCTGTAGATAATACCTCCACCTTTGCACAACCATTAACACAGCAAGAAATTCCCTCTCATATATGGAAAGAGCTTGATTCTTTGGGCAAAGCATCTTGCTCATATAGGCAATGGGCTGCCCTTGTTGCATTAGGACAGCTCCCACCCCCTTCCCACTTGCATCAGTCTCTAGAGTAAAAGGTTTGCTGTAGTCTGGCAAAGCCAATACTGGGGCACATGTCATGGCTTGTTTCAGATTTTGAAAAGTTGTATCTGCCTCAGGACCCCATTTGAATTGGTCTTTCTTTAGTAAATCTGTCAAGGGTTTACTGATTATGCCATATCCCCTCATAAACTTTCTGTAATACCCTGTGAGTCCCAAGAAACCCCTTAATTGTTTTAGAGTTTTTGGAATGGGCCACTTCACCATGCTCTCTATTTTTTGGGAATCAGTAGATACTCCTTGTTGGATGATAATATGGCCTAGATATTCAATCCTTTGCTGTGCAAATTGGCACTTGCTCCTCTTAGCATATAGTTGGTTCTCCTTTAGGATTGTAAGAACCTGTTTCAAATGCCCCAAATGGTCATTCCAAGTTCTGCTGTAAATGAGAATATCATCAAAAAATACCAGCACAAACTTCCTTAGGAATTCCCTGAACAATTTGTTCATTAATGATTGAAAAGTGGCCGGGGCATTGCAAAGCCCAAAGGGCATAACCAAGAACTCATAATGCCCATTATGAGTTCTAAAAGCAGTGAGGTATCTATGCTCCTCATTCATGAGAATTTGGAAATATCCAGACCTGAGATCTATCTTGGTGAAGTACTTGACACCTTGTAGCTCATCTAACAGTTCATCTATGACTGGGATAGGGTAGTCATGTTTGACTGTTAACCCATTCAAGTATCTGTAATCCACACATAGCCTCCATGTGGCATCCTTTTTCTTGACCAAAATAACAGGTGAGGCAAATGGGCTTTTGCTGTCCTGAATAATTCCAGTTTGTTGCATTTCTTTAACAATCTTCTCAATTTCTTCCTTGTGAGTGTGGGAAGATCTGTAGGGGAACTGGTGTTTAGGGACACTGTTAGGTTTGAGGATAATTTGGTGCTCAACCCCCCTGCTTGGAGGTAATCCTTTAGGCTCCTGAAAAACCACCTGAAATTCCTCTAGGATTGATTGTACCTCTATTGGGTCACTCTGTGGATTTCCCTGTGTATCAGGTTTGGCAAGAGTAACCCAATACACCTCTTCTATGTTGTCCTCAGCCCCTTCATGTATCATCTTGTAGAGTGTGTGTCCTGTAATCATCTTGCAGTGGGACTCTGACTTCAGGGCTTGTATTTTAACCCTTTTTCCCTTTAGAGTCACTGTCACCCTCATCTTTTCATAGTCAAGTTCAATGGGTGTGCAACTTTTCAGCCAGTCACCCCCCAATATCATGTCACATCCTTCATTATCCAGCACTCTCAAAGGGTAACTGAAAGTGTGCCCTTGCATTTTCCAATTGAAACCTTCAGCAACTTGGGTGCTCAGCATCCTTTGCCCATTAGCTACCCTGACAACAATAGGGGTAACTTCTTTGAGGTCTAAGTTGAGGTTCTTGGCAGTACTAGCTTGGATAAAGCTTAAAGTACTGTCTGAGTCAATAAGAATGTGGAGTTTGTGTTCCTCAGTCACCCCATAAACCCTCATAGTGGTTAATCCATCCTCACCAGCAATTGCATTTAAAGACATTTGTATCTCTTCCAGATTCTCATAAACTGCCCTTTCCTCATCCACTGTAACAGTTGATTGTAGGTAATGGACTTCCTCTTTCTCTGTCATCACCATATAGTTTAGCCTGTGCTTGCATCTATGCCCATAGACATATTTCTCATCACAATTATAGCAAAGCCCTTTGTCCCTTCTTGCAGCCATCTCTGCTGAGGTGAGCATTTTAATTGGACTCCTCTGTGGGTTTTGAGTAGTTTTGGGTGGGCTGTTGAAAAGAGTTTCAGTTTTCTTAGGAGGTAGGTAGGGAGTTGAATAAGGTTTGTTTGGTCCCTTCATCCTTCTGGAAATTGCTTCCAAAGTGGCCAGCTGTTTTTTTCCAAGCTCTATAGTTTGCTGCAAGGTCACTGGTTCAAACATGTTAATAAAAGCTTGTAATTCCTCTGAAAGTCCACTTATGAAGCTAGCAATAAAGTAATCCTCAGAGTAGTCTTGTTTCATGCACAACATACAAGCTTTTAGCTCTTCAAACCTCTCCGCATAATCCACTTAGGAT